TAATCTTGGACCGCTGAAATTTCTAACTTTTTACCTTAAGATGGTTAGAAGTAGATTAAAAAATGTTTGATTCTTATCAGAAGTAAAATCTCCTATTGTAAAATGATTGTGAGTGCTTTTAAAAAGTCTTTTAATGGAGTATTGGATGTTCTAGAATAATGTCCAAATCTTCCTTTTATAGTCCTTTGAGTGTTAGGGGGCTTAGAAGTTCTTGACAGGATTGAAAACCCTCAAAATCATGTAAACATGTAAAAAATTTTGTCGCATGACGCCGTAGCGAACTCTAGTGGGCTATAATGCACCAATTATAGAATGCAATGCATTATGGCAAGTTACAAGGACACTACTATGCTCTGCTCTAATAACTTTTTAATTTTTTACAAAACCCATTTACACAAAATGTCTCAAATTATTATTCATCAACCTCAAAGATCCTGCCAAATAAAACACTACTACTATAGTGTCCCTTAAGGGGTCATGGCACCTTAGATGCCGTCCAAGCACACTAAAGCATCCCAAATACTGGAATTAACGTATCATAACAATTCTTTTTTTGTAATTTTTAGAATTTCTAAACTCTATAAAAATTTCTACATTTCCTTAAACACTTCGATTATAATTATTTTTTCAAAAGTTATTTTATTTAATTCATTTCTTACAAATTTATTTTTGTCTAAATTCACGTTTTTAAATTTATTTTATCTAAATCTACTGTGACATAACATTAATGAAATTTGAATTCAAGTTCAAATAAATTATAATTTAAAAAGAGTGGTTGTATAAATATATAATCTTAGTTATACGTCACATCAAGCTGATTAAATTTTTTTCCAGTCAAGCAGAATAAGACTACAATTAAATCCCATTTATTGCTCAAAAAACCATTTAAGATATTATTGAGACATGTCCTGAACGAAGGGCACAGACCCAATGTTAACAGCAAAAGTGACTTAAGTGGATCTCACGGCTGCATTATATAGTTGCGCCCCCACCCCACCCTCCCGCCCCGCTGCGTCAATTTCTTGAGACTTAGAAGTCACTGCCCGTGTTGAAATCAAATTAAATCAGTTAAATTAATTTTTTTTTTAAATTTAAATTTAAATTTTTAAATTTTAGTTTGATTTAATTTAAAAAATTAAAATTATGATTAGATTTAGTCAAACAATCAACTCAAAACAATTCTAAACTAAAAACTAAGTTTTGAAAATATTTTTTTTTAAAAAAATACACACACGCGGTGCGCATGCACATGTAAATATATTTACGTGAATATATATGTGTATGCATACACATATATATAAATACATATAAAATTTTATCTACTCATATAATATAGATATATATACATATAATATGTATACAAATGCGCATGCACACACACACACACATGTAGATATAAATGTATGTGTTTGTATATATAAAAATATATATAAATATTTTTATATTTATATGAATATTATATATTTATAAATTTTTATACATGAAGATATATATGTATGTGTATACAAACATATATACATTTATACACACATATATCTACATGCATATATATAATTTTGATAATAAAAAATTATATAAATAATTTATTTAAATATTGATTAAATAATAATAGATTAAACTCAAAATCAAACCAAACTAAACTAAATTAAACTAAAATTTTAAATTTGATTTGGTTTTAGTTTATAATTAAATTAGTTTGGTATGATCTGTTTTCCAAAGTATTAAAGTCAAAAAATCAAAAAACTAAAACAAATTTATGATTTGCATTAAAAATTAAATGAGAGAGGTAACATTTCGAAATAGTTTAGAAATAGTCTGTCATTAATTACCCTTATTTATTCATCTCCATCCTCCCATTACCTACAAATGATATTATTTACTAAACGTTTTTATATTTGATATTCTTTAATTGGTCTTATTTTTAATATTAGTACTTATTAATATTATTCAATCACATATGACCAAGAAATATAGTGACCTAAAAACAGTGATAACATTAATAAAATATAAAAAATTGTGAAATATTTTTGCGTGAAACCACGAACTAATAATGACACAAGGTTCCCTTGTTTAAAAAAAAAAGAGAAAAAAATAATAACTTTTCCGAGTGTGAAAGTGCTAAATTAGAAGAATTTTTATATAAATTTTTAATTATGTGTCATACCCCAACCTCTCAAACCTTAAAGACATGACAGCGAGGCAATAACCAATATACCACCGAGTAAAATTTGGCAGCATGCCGGCTACTGTAACCCTTCTAGTTAGCCTTAAAGACCCTGTGTCTGAGTATCTGCTTGAATCAACAACTTGACAAAAGTACGTAGCTTGCAAAAATTCATCCAACACATAATTTAAGCATAATTCATCATATATCATATTTCCAATAGTCATCTAACATCGTGCCATGCTCAAAATCATTACATTTGCTTAACCACCAGTAATTCATACATAAATCTCAACATCACATTATTTATAATTATCCAAAATATAAAAGGTCTCCCAAATATAGTCATCCCAAATCTATAAAAATATAATCAAAACAATCCTTGCAGCCTGGCCCAACATGGTGCTATAAAGGGAGCAAAACACAAACAATACGAATACTGAGATTCTAACTTAATATCTCAACATCTGCAGGGGGAAAAAATTAGTAAGTGAGATCAACGTCCCAGTGAATGTAATCCAATTAATACCAGTAGAAACAGTCAGTTTTTGTATCTATTTTAACAATATAAATATTCTCAAAGAGTTTCATGTCATGAAGCATAATAATAAATTTCCAACAATACAAAAGCTAGATTGTTGTTATGTCAAGTCATAAAACATAAGAGGGTATAAGCATGAATCATAAAAGTTTTCATGGGTATCATAGAAAATTTATAAAAATCATATTTCGTATTCACATGTATACTTTGGTCGGATATGCACAACCGAAAGTGTCTGGGAGTAATAAAATCATAAAACATAGCATGGCCCTTCATTGGGCAAAACATAAATATATCGGGGTGCTATTATACCGTGTAGCTTGTGCTAGGGGTCGCCACTCCCCGGCCAAACTAACACAGTTTTTGGCGCATGACCCCTTTTTATTAGGGAAATAAACATACATATATCATGTAATACAAGTAGAACCGCCACCTATCCCAGATGGCTACCCGACATCATGGGTTTAGGTGCTAAGGCATCAAAATAACATAAACTCGTGAAAACCATGATATTAAGTATATACTCGAAATCATAACATAATTGGACTGTTTCCCATGTTCTTAATAGCAACATATATTTGGGTTTGAAATAAGCATTGTTCATTCTAAATTATAGTTTGCAAAAATAAATTAAGATTAGGAAGATTCCTACTCACCGTGTAATATGAGCCTATAAGGATGCTTCTAGAGTTGTAGGTCTAGGGTCTGAAATAGCTGGAATATCCTCTCCTACAAGGGGGATACACAACATGAGAGAAATACTTTAAATACATCATGCGAAAGTAATAATTATACCCTACAACGTATAAATACAAAATTTTTTCCCTCTCTAACTTTTGAGTTTCATCCAAACATGCCCTTAATCTCTCTCTACCTTTGGGTTCTATCCAAACATGCATTTATCCCCTTTTTCCCCATTTCAACTCCAATCAAATATGCCTTTATCCCATTTCAATATTATCTCATCCATTTCTCTCACATTTCAACTATAATCACTTCATTCAAGGTTTAATTCAATCATGAAAACATAGATATCTCCAAATAAAATAATATTTAAAGGTACTTTAATAAGAAATATCAAGATTCAAGCAAAATATCCCATGGGTGAGGGTAAACCTACTTTTGTCTCTCTACAACACACAATAACATCAAAATACAAAATTTACATTGATTAAAAGTTATAAAACGAAGAGAGGATGTTAGCATGTAAAAATTATTAAAGAAAAACCAAATGGGGTTTGAGATTGGGCCATTTTACATACTTTCTTCTTCATTTTCTCCTCTTTCCCTCGTGCTCTCTATTCCTCGTGCTCTCTATTTGTGCGAAAATGAGCCATAGAAGGCTCTCCCAAACTTTTAAAACAAAAGCTTATAAGCCAAAAAGACCATATTGCCTCCTTAAAATTATCTTTATTTTTAATTCTAATGAATTTCTAGATGAATTTTGGGTATCCTAGGATATCTCCCAAATATTTGTTTTATAGTTTTCAGGAGTTCAAGTGGTTTTAATTGTCCATGGAGGGATTAAAAATTCTAAATTTTCAAAAAAAAAGCCAAAAAAACTCGATCTGCGGGTCAAAACCAGTGCCTGCCGCACTATAGCACAGTAATTCCAGTGTGCAGCGCGCTGCTACAGTAACCGCAGGTAAAATTTTTTTTTTTTAATTACAAAAATTTCATTTCTTCCAAAACTTACAAAACACTTCATTCCTTCCCAAATTCCTTAAAATTCCCTCTAAATAAATTTAAAATTCAACCCAAAGTGGTTTAAGAATTCTTCTTTTTCTCTTTTTTTTTTCTTCATTTTATTTTATTTTTTTTAGAAGTTGGTTTTGGATGTTACATTATGTGACGATGTGGCCCTAATATTTTATGAAAAAAATTATATTTTAAAATAAATGGATGATAAGTAAAACGGTATTTTGTGCAAAATTTTAATAAATTATTGTCTTATAAAATTAAAAAGATCCTATATTAATGTAACCTATATATTTGATGTTAGTAAGTGACTAATAATCTTAACAATTAGTAATATATTCATCCAACGGTCCTAATGTCTCTCAGAACACAAGATCAAATCTAACGGAAGTGCGCCAGGTAGAGGAATAAGCCAGACCAAACTCAGATTTTGATAAATGTACATGTAAACAAGACGGGAGCTCCATTTACTACATATACAATCCTTCAATATAGGTGTTTGCTCTGTGCATCAAAAACATGACCAGCGAATGAAAAGGAAAAATCAAACCTATGTCGTCTTCTGCTGTGTTGGGAACATTTTCTTAGCTCCTACCTTTAAGAAACTAGTGAAAGGAGCTGATGTAGCCTTATCCACTGGAAATTGACGTGGCAGAACAACTGACCCACGTGTCCGTCGCCGCATCCGGAGAAGACAGAACCTTGTCCATCCTGTTTTTCAATAGACCAACATTTTTGCCTTCGAGCGGGGGGCGGTGGTCTCCGGTTAACATTGTCAATTACCTCTCCACTGGAAACAGAGGTGGTAGAACAACTGACCCACATGTCTGTCACCGCATGCGGCGAAGACAGAACCTCGTCCCTAATGTTCTTCAACAGCAACATTTTCGCCTTCCGGCGATGGGGGTGGTGTCTGCTCAACATTGTCAGTAACCTCTTCATTTTCCTCGTCTCTGTACTCCTGAATATCCTTCAAAGCCTGCAACACCTCATCCATCATTGGCCTCATTTCTTTTCTGGCTGTAGGCACCGGAATGCCACCTCCGCCACGACGTTGTCATCCTTTCCACCTCAGGATCTGACTCGAAGCCCAGCCATGGATCGATCAATTCATTGAAAGCCCTGTTTTGGATCCTGTTCATAGCCAAATTGGCCAAACTGATCTCATGCCTGTGCCTGCTAATATCAACCGCAGGCATTGATGATATGAGCTCAATTAGCACAACTCCAAAGCTGTAAACATCACTTTTATCGGTCAGCTGGAAACATTGGTGGTACTCTGGATCGACATAGCCAGGGGTCCCTGGGGAGCCGTTGAGACGTGTGTAACATTGTTAGGAAAGAGCCTGTAGATATGGTTGATAATTTAGGATATGAAAGGAAATAAATTATTTATAATTTTTGTTAAAGTTTTTTGTATGTTTTAACATGAACAAGAATTCGTCAAAGTTATGACACGATTATAACTTAATTAAGATATATCAAACTGCCACCTCTACCTGGAGAGCCCAAAATCTGCAACTTTAACGCAGAAGTTGTCATCGAGGAGGATGTTGGTGGTCTTGACATCGCGGTGAATGATGTCGGAGGCATGGAGGTAGGCAAGGGCAGCCGCCGTCTCAATGGCTATGTTCATGCGGACGGGCCATGTGAGACAGCCTTCTTTTGCGTGGCAGCCGTGGAGGTGGTCGGCAACTGTACCATTAGGGATGTACTCGTAGACGAGGAGCAGGCCGTGACTTTGGCGAGAGGTGCAGCCATAGAGGGATACGAGGTTGCGGTGGCGAAGGCGGTTCAGAATTTCAATTTCATTCATGAATTGGGTCACCCGCTTGTAATTGTGCTCATAGAAGCGTTTTACCGCAGCTTCCCTCCCATCCTTGAGCTTGCCTAGTTGAGAAGAATAATATCCATGGTTAAGCAACGTATTCAAGCCTACGTGCACGGGTAAGAAGTAGTTGAACTTCTGTTTTTGTCAACTCTAGCAAATATTAGGATTTGTTTGGCAATATTTGTGTTGTTTTATTTAGTTTTGAAAATAAAATTTGTGCTAATGTTTGCCTTGTGAACTGTTTACAGCTCGTAACATTTGACACTAGTTAAAGTTCATAAAATTTTTGAAAGTACATAATTTCTATTTACATTTGTTTAGGAAAAGGTAACTTTCACTGGATTTTTCTTGTCCAAAATAAAATAGATTATCTTCTGTATGATAAAACAAACAGAACTGTAGCATACTCTGCTATCTGGGAAAGAATTTACCGTGGTAAACAGTGCCAAATCCTCCATCTCCCAATTCTTTAGAAGGATCGAAGTTATTTGTGGCTTCTTCGAGTTCCTTGTAGGAGAAGACAGGTACACCAAAGTAGATACTACCTCCTTCAAGGTCTGCTTTCGAAAAATCAGCACTGTTCCTTGAGAACACGTGAGAAGAGATGTAACTCCATCTTTTGCCACTCCCCAAAAAGAGTACGAGTAGGATAAAGAATCCGGGTATGACTGGAGAAGACATATAGAGATGAATTCAGACATCTGGTTCAGAAAATTCAAAATTCACGTAAACAGGTAGAATCGGGGTTTAGCTGCCTTGTGTATAGGCATACAGAAAAATTGATTATCACTGTGTATTACCTGTTCCTAGAATCAGCTTCAGATTTCTTCTTCCTGCAAATTCCAGAGAAAATTTCAGTTAGCTGCTACCCACGAAGAATTTTAAATTGGACTTGCAGGTTAGATCAGAAATAACACCCTGCACATTCAGAAATGCAAATATACATCCTCCCTCAATTATGCAATGGAACTCGCCAAATGCAAGAGATGTACATTGGCCACCCTTAAGGCGACATTTATTGCATTTATTTGAGACACTGAATCCAACATAGTACTCAGATGCAAATAGTGAGAATAAATCTCTAGCCTTTCCGTTCCACTTCGATGGTACTGCTGCCGGTACTATAACTTCAACACAGGGCAGCCCACTGCCAGGTGACGGAAGTTGCTGATTAGGGTCTGAAGAATAGTAGAACGTGTAACCCGGGCATTTTTCGTAACTTCGATATTTGTGGAAGCGATCTTGTGTCCTTTTGTTTAGTTTGGGATCGCTTCTGTTTTCGCATTTGACCAAGGCGATATTGGGAAATGTTGTAGTGGACATAGAAGATGAACTGAAGAAAGGGAGGTAATTGAAAACATCGCAACTTTTTAGGCTTATGAAGTCACTTCTGCAATTATCCCTTATCTTGATGGCGTTACCCAAGACTTCCTCTACTTCCACGGACCAGTTACCCCATTGCAGTTTTGCAGTTCCGTTTTTGCCACAATTCACAGGCAGCAACCCACATCGACGGTCTGTGATGTTGTAGAAAGGGAAATGGAGCTGTCCAATCTTTCCACAGTTGAAGGACTTGGGACAATTATGGCGGTGACCATGCACAGAAGGAGAGACGAGAAAGAAAACCAGAATGAAGGGAACAGCCATTCGGAATTCAAAAGTCCGCAATTTAATCGAAAAGAGACAACCACACAGGCTGAGGAGGAACCAATTCGTCCTTGCTTAAAAATGTCGCCGTAGATTTTGCAAATTCACTATCGCCATAGATGATGCTGCAACACGGCAGTAGACTAGAAATTATGGATTGGCCAGACCCAATCAGTGGTTCGCACTCCCTTTCTCCTCGCAGACCCGAACCATAAGGAAGAGTTGACCCATTGACGGACAGTCTCTATTTGTAAAATATAACTCAGACGATATATTTTAAATCTATTTTTAGCTTTAAAAGGCAATGCAGGTTCCACGAAACTTCAAACGAGGAGTAAGTAGAACGGAAAACTTTCTCATCCATGGATGAGTGGGTGGCGTGAAACGGACGGCAAATCAAAAAGAATCCTGATGCAGAGATATAGTCAAATGGATGCTATGGTCACACTGAAAAGTCACAACGGATGGACCATGCCTGTCATGTTGCTCCATCATTTCAAGTTTAAATTTCTTCTCCATGGCATCCTACTTAGAGGGTATTTGAGGATTTTCATTATCATGAAAGAAAAAAATAATAAAAATTTTACAGTTTAATAGATTTTTTTAAGTTTAAAAAAAAAGCTAAAGAAATAAATTTAATTAGGAATTTTGATAATTTTAATTAAGAAATTCTTTATTTATTATTTAATTTGCTGTTTTTCTCTCCTTTCATGCAAAATTCTATTTAAATTTTCAGGGAAAAAAAATTGCAGTACTTAAAGTCTAGAATTTGGAAGTGTTAAAAACGCCGAGTCAGGCAAGTTTCTTTTGGACTTTTCTGGGTTGGTCATGGAGAAATAAATCCTAATTAAACTAGTCAAATTTTTTCACATTATTGTATAATAAAAATTAACTTGAAATAGAGATTAATTGCTGGCTTAGATGGGCTTTTTTTAAAACCAAAAAGCGCTTTTTTAGATTAAAAAAGCACTTCCCATAGAAAAAGCTGTTTGTGTAAATTAATAAAAAATCAGAAATACTAAAAAACATTAGTTTTTTACTTTTCTTAAAAAGTTAATAGGATCGATTTTTCAAACTTTCTCTTGTGACAAAAGAAAGAGAAAATAGTAGATAAAATTAGAATAACATTTTTATATAACAATATGTCTTACTTGAAAGAAAATACATATATTAATCCTTTATAATAATTTTATAAAAAAATATTTTTATAATTTTATATATCCAAACAATTAAAAAGTAATAAAATGTTTCTATTTTTTTAAAAAAAATTATTTTTAAAAAAGTACTTCTAAAAAAATTTATCCAGATGGGTCATGATGATCTAAAATTTCACTGCGTCTCTAGTTCATAGGGGTATTGGATGGCATGACACCCTATTCAAATTGGATTATTTATTTGAGATAAAAGAAAATACTTAGCCCTAAACATAGAAGAGAAGTTAATGTCAAGTATTCAGATTGAATAACAATTTACCTCCTCTAACAGAAACTATTATGAAGTTGAAGAAAATGAAACTTCCCCAACTTCTAAGAATGGTTCAAAATAAAAAGAGGAGGCAAACATATATAAATAAATAAATGTCTATAAGAATTGTGAATCGGTTCAGTTGAAAATTGTCTAAAGGCCTTCCTCAGTGCATTTCTTTCAATAATTAGGCTCTGTATTCAAAGCATTCGGAGAATTAGTTATTTTTTAAAGACAACTTTCTCAATTCTATTTAATTGTCAAAGGTTGATGAAATAATCGTTTGACCAACGTAAAAATGGGCCAAAAAGCCGCCATCTGCCAGCTCATTTACTACATTATTAATTTCCTTTTCTTACTCTTCCCATGAATTCAACGGAACTCTATACTTTCTCTTTTCATCATTTTTGCTAGCTGCTTTCTTCTTTTTTTTAAAAGAATTTTAATAGGAATTGAACAGTTTATTAAACCAAATGAAGAACAATCTAATATCTATAACCCAAAAATCTATTGAAGTTCGTTGACATACACTATCACCACAGCCTCGCATGACAGAAACACCTATGAAAGCAGAGCAAAATTGTGTATGTGCGGGTTTATGGTTTACTATTATTCAATTAATTCGATTTGCAAACTCTCAAACCGATGAATAACCGGATTTACTGAAAACCTCAGTTTCTGAAACGTTTACCTAATTAAATAAACCCGAAGCAAAGTCACTAATTACGTTCACGTATTTCCTTTTCAACCGATTAACTCTAATATGAATATGTACCAGAATATTGTCTGTAAGAAAATTCGTCCACAAACCCAGAAAAAATGTAGCGGAGAACTGTAACGGCTTACCTTCATTGCAATGCTTGTGATAGGCTCCATCTGGGCAAAAACATACTGGCCTCTTCATAGTCTTATTGAACCCGCAGCGGCCACCACTGCTTTGACATTCATCATTGCAGCTAATAAACCCAACCCATTCAAGTGAAAATCCATCTCTCAGCAACTTCTCATAGCCCATGAACTTCACTGTTTGCTTATGCTGTCCGCCCTCTACCTCAACAGGAGCGTTAACCCATGATTCACAGGGCAAGTCCTCACAATTCAAGGAAAAGGATCCAGTGTCTAAGTAGGCGTAAAAGTGGTTGGGGGACTAGAAGTACAAGGAATTGGGTACTGCGTATAATTTGCAGGAAATGAACTATTGCAGTTATAGAACAAGAAAAGATCAGCAAGGTTGGGGGTGAATTTGAAAGAAGAATGATCAAATGCAAAATGGTTTTCAGGAACATGACACTCAGAATCCAACACGTCGAGATTGACCATCCGAAATGAGTTATTGTGATAAAAGATGTTTTCAATCAAGTAATCACAGCGAGATGCAGTATAAACAGGCCTATTGTTTTGACAGTAAACCTCAAATCCCGGGTAGCCACAGAAATCTATTTCGCTTCCATACTCAAATATCTGAAATGGGTACCTGATACTTGGACCGGTACTGCAGTTTCTTGGCCTGCAAGCATCGTATCTCGGGTCCAGCGTTGGGACCGACTCTGCTAAGAGGATGCCAACGAAGATACTCACTCCAACATGGAAGAAAATTCCAAAGTTGAGCAAGAATTGACGAGCCATGAGTTGGTTAAGTCAGTTGATGACTATGAACCAAGAGAAATAAGATGCTTGAGGCATATATTAAGACCAATATGGGAGGTCGCCTTCAATAATCCTATTTGTTTAATCAGTCCTCTGGCTGCCAAATTTGAATTCCTCTATCACCTTAATTCAAAGCTAATTATTTATGCCTAACTTCAATAGGTTTTCCAAAAGATTCTGCAGTACACAACCAACCATAATCAAAGCTCACAACATGTTCATTGGGCAGAAACATTGATCTGGAATGGGAAATGAGCTAGAATACACTTGACCTGAATTGATAAAGAATAAAAACTCCCATAGATTCATCCATTCCATGGAAATTCAGAAAGATCATTAAACAAAAATGTCACGGAATAAATGGGAAAAGGCAATCAAAGTGGGGTTGGACGTGGAGAAAATAAGTTAACTGCAAGGCAATCAAAGAGCCATAGAAGAGCTTGAAGCACTTGGTATTGAATTCAATGCTAATATTAGAGGTGCCAATTTGATCCATTTCCTAATTGAATCTTCTCCGCCTGTCCAATTCAAAACACAAGCCAGATTCAGAGTTGTGTACTATTGGAGGAGACAGAGCTCGTGACTCTGCTAACTAATCTCTCAAGTAATGACCCAATTTTAATCAGATTTCTTGGGCTCAATTTGGAGGCATAGCAAGGGTTCAGTTGCTTCTTGTACCTCTTTTTTATCATCCATTAAGCTAGGCTACAAAGGAAAAAAGCCAGCTAAATCCAAAAGGTAAAGGATCAGTTGCTTCCGAAGAGAGGAAAGAGGAAAACTTATATAATTCCACTCGAGCAGCAAAGATGAAAATTGCAGAATATGTTCTCAATTTAGTCAATGACTTGAATCCTAAGCATCGAAGAAGTCCAAAGAGTTGTTGAAATTCATTTTGGGACTTAAAACCACTTATTTTTGTTACCTGAGCTTAATATCTACAACTTGCGAGAGAACGGCGTCTTGAAAGAAAAATTGCTTTGAGATAAAGAAGAAAACACACATGGAGAAACAATATTCTACAAATGGGATAAGAATTCAATCGTTTGGATGGAGTTCAATAAAACAACGAATCCATTTTTTTTATTGGGTAAGAAGTGTTTCTGTCATGGAATGACTAAAATACTGTAATGCCTTCAAGCTGTGTAAACAACAAATAAATTATTGGATTAACCCCCTTCTATACGCTACATATATTATACGTAATAATAATTGGGTAGTAAAATGGTTCTACTGTCTGTATCTGAGTAGTCGTCAAGGAGCAAATAAACACCGACGATTAAGCAGTTAGAAAGCACACACTTTAGGAGTAGGTTTTGGTGGTGTTCGAGTCAAGCAAAAACTGTTGGTGTAAAGTGTCATGGATACATTGCCATCTTCTGTTTCTGTTGGTTCCACATATAACTCAATTCGTCCATTATACTCTATACGATGTGAGATTCATGACTTACTATTAACTCACTTTTTGAGGTGAAGTTCACAATATTCTACTACTCTCCCTGCCTCCTCTTATTCAGAGGTTAGCCTTGACATGAGTTAATAAGTGATTTTGAACATTTTCTCATAACATGAAATTTTCTTCAATGCATGTATACAAACCACCAAACTTTTTTATAATTAATATGAAATTCTTAAGAAAAATAGATAGTACACAGCACTTAATTAACTAATCTTTAATTAAAAACTCCCAACTACTTCACTTTCCTAGTCCATTCTCCGGTGTCATGACTATTTTTGTACCAGGTTAATTAATTTTGTAATTTCTCTACTTTTTTAAGGTGTCCCATTGACAAACTTGTGGTACGACAGCAATGAAACTTCAGTTAAAAAAATCTAGAAGACTAGGTTCACAAACTAATGTGAGAAGCAAGGCCTGATGGGATGGTAAATATCCTAAGAAAAGAGTTGTCCGAGGCAAGGTCTGCCCCTGAGATTGACCGGCGTTCTGATTATAAAAATTAA